TTCCTGGTATATTATACTGCGTGTAATTGATACAGAGGAGCCGCCATTAATTCTCCCGTTGTTGTCGTCCTATCTTTAGCGCGGAGCTCGCCTCTCGGTCCCCGTTCAACGTATGCGTCTATACGTACACGCGCGTGTTCCCGAAATCCCGTTAACTCTTCGAGTTTCCAGTGGAGCCGGGTGTCACGACTTTGCTCGATTTTTCCCGGCACCGATCGATCGATCGATCGAACGAATCGGCCGCAACGATTACGCCGGAGACACTCTCACAGCCCTTTCACTCGTCGGAGAACGTGGCTCTCCTTAACGCCGATTTATATATTTCTATATGTTTATACACGTGCACAGGTACCTGCACACGCGTGCCACGGATTCGTATAAAAATGACGCATCAAGGTTACGTTATCTCGACGAAGGTCAATCTCCATTCGTCGCGGAACGCAGCGCGTAGCCCTTTCATTTATGTTAATAGGATTCACGTGTAGACCACTGGTAAAAACGCCGCGGTCTGAGTTGGACCGCGTTCCTCGAAGACCTAAATATTTGAAATGTCCTGAGCGGCGTATTATTTCATTTAATTTCAATTTATCGACGGCTACTAAATCTCTTTTTACGCATACGTCTGAGAGTATAAACTATAATAAGACTTCACAATCCGGTATTTGACTTATCCAACAGTATTCATACCAATGTACTAATAACTAATACTTATAACAAGATAACAAGTATTATTGCAGAGTGGGTTTGAAAAGGGGGATCAATGCCTCATTTCGCGAGAGTTATCGTCTCACATTTCGAGCTATTATCGTAGAAGAAATCGGTCTGGTCACTGTATTCGTTTGCAGCGGTGCGAATCCTATTGGTGCTGTCAGTATTACCAAATCTAGATTTAGAATTCGGTGTATCGAATAGAGGAGTAGTGTCTGAGTGAATGGTTTGGTATATTGAATTTTATCTGATTGATCGGTTCGGGACAGTCTATCTTGTTCGAAACATTACGTAGTAGTAACTCATTGAAGCCCTTCGATCTTCGAGCGTCTTGATGTTGAACGTTCACTCGACCGTTCTACGATCGCGCGTGTCGAGTGACTCGAGCGAACGCGGCTATTTCGAATTAAGCGATCTCGATGTTATTACCGGTCTTCAGGCTGGAACTTATTTATTGTCGCAGTCGGCAGTCCACGAATTCCCGCGCATTCGGCGATCGTTCGTTTTCGAACTAGGATTCGTCGCGTTTCGTCGGCTAGCCTTTCGGTTCGTAGAAAATTGCCGAGCACGCGGTGTTCGCATAACGGTACCCGTCGGCTCCTCGCGCGTTCCGTCGCGTTGCGACGCGTAGGTACTCGCTCGAGGCGAATCTTACGCGAGCGAATCGCTGCCGGCGGAAGAGACGTGTCGGCGCGTCGTACGAGCGACGTTACGTGCACCGCGATTCACGCGCGATGCGTGTACGAACGCATTTCGCCGCGCGAGACGAGTCGAATGCCAATCGACGCGCGAATCCTCACGTTCGACATGGGCTAGAGCTTCGTCGACTGCTGCCCGCGCGTTTACGGGGTCCGGTAATTGGTGAAAAACCGCCATCATTTTCTAATGAATATTTTTATTGGAAACATTGGGATCATTGTATATATTTACATCCAACCTGTTAGCTACCGCGGGATTTTCCGCAATGCTATCTCTGCAGCTTCAACGCGGACCGCGTGAATCTGTGTCTCACGCTTCTTACTGCGACATTAGAAATGTTGTTAGGAAATATTGTTTACGCGAAACAAATGGGAAATGAAAGAAATGACGTGGGCAGTCAGGCGATGTGTTAAATATATCTATAAACAGAGTGAGTCAATTCAGTGGCGTACCGTTTAAAAATATGATAACCACGAAAGCCACTATAGTGACGTACTGTAGTTAAAAGGTTAAAAAATATACTTTGAGGTTAAGCGGACCACCTTTGTGTACAATTATATTATTTACGCGTTGAAAAAAGTTACTGTAAGAAGCCTACAAGTGATGCTGTGGTATTTTCTTCCATTCAAGATTAAGTGCCTTTTTCAGTGCTTCCAAAGTGGTATGTTTTTTAAAGCATACTTCAGTCTTCGATATATAGATAAACGAAAACATCCATGGCATACAAATCTGGAGAATTTCACGGCCATTCAATAGTGGAAATGAAATTGGAAACATTGTTTCTCAACCAATTTTATGTTCCTTTGGCTTTGTAAGTTGATGCGGAGTATTGCTCGAATGTCATGTCTTTGATTTAAAGTGTTTATGTGACCAAAGCTTCAAACAGTCCTCCAAACCAATTCACGACAAATCTGTTGGTTAATTTTTACTCCTTGAGGCTCAAAAACAAGTGGAGTACTTCCATTGTGAGTGATAGCAGCTCGGACCATTGCAGATGCAACTTTTTGTGCGCGAGTGGCTACCAAATGTTGCATATCTGTAGATCTCTCGTCAACCAAACTTCATTGTTTTGTTTCTTAACAACTTACCGAATTGTAAAAATCTTTTCATCGAAGAAAACAATGTTTTGCAAACTGCCGCTCGCGGTTCGTCGCGTTGAAGTCCTTCATTCTTTTTACTCTCTTCTTTTGTATCTTACTTTCTTCCTACATCTTATACGGCTTTGCCTTTAGCCCATTTTTCAATATTTCAACACCTCTGCCTTTTATTTTGCAATTTATTTGCACTATGCCGTGAATTTCTTTCCAAACGTTTCTTCATATTTCCTATTATTGCGATTGATGTTGCCTTTTCTTCTCATCCACCACCAAATTTGCTTTTTGTCTCCAAATATTTTTTATTGCACGAATTTTCGATTCACATTTTAAATTATTCACGATTTCCTTGTTTGACTTTGTTGCTTCAAAAGGAGCAATCACAATCACATATTGAACAATGCTGAACAATGAACTAAACGGACAGTTTACCGTTTTGACAGGTGATGATCGGTTAACAGATCTGACAAAAATACGACTTGAAGTTCAGCTTTTTTCACAGCACGAAGTCGGGGACAATTCAATTGTCGGACCCTGTCCGATTCGACGATTGCCGATATTCGATTAAGATTTCCGTGCTTCGCTCGCGCGTAATCGATCAACGGCATACCTCGACAATCGGTGTGTATTTACCGATTACTCGGACGGATTACGCGACGGAGTAACGGCGCTCGGTTTCCGGTGGTTATCGCGCATTACGCGGCCGGCGTTAACGTAACGTCCGAGCGAAAGAATTCCGCGTACCGAAATCGTGGTTTCGCACGGTTTATAATGAACCCATTCATGCCGTCGCGTCGGCTCGGCAACTGCAAGTGCACGGCCGACGGCGTATGGCTGGGAGAAAGGAACTCGCATAGACCGAAAGTATTTTCGTAACGCGGAATGACATCGCGCAGGTCCAATCAGCCATGCGAAAAGAGTTTTTTTCATTCTTTCCTCGAGTGGGGTATGTTTCCCGGTTGGTCGAGATTTCGAAAATCTTTCAAGAAGTTAGACCTTAGAAGTTAGAAGTTAGAAAGAAGACCTAACACGGGGAGACGAACCGATTATCTCTCTCTTTCTCTCGTTCCGTCGAACGATCCATTGAAAATCTTACCGCGTCCAACGCGTTTCTATTTGCCAGGGTTGGCTGTGTACCTAGAAATGGTAATTTTATTGCGTCGATGGTTAGAGGCGATATCGTTGGTCGTTGGGTAGAAATCGAAATGAATCCGGCGATCGACGATTAAAGTTGGGTTGTAACAGTGGCGCTGATTACTTGTCTCCACAAGAATTTTGTTTCTGGGTATAACCCAGGTATTTTACAAGGGGAACCATGGGATGTTTATACCTTGTATATTAATCAGGCTGGAAGGTTTCTTTATTTTCCTGGGAAAGGCTATTGATTGTGTCTTGGATGGGATTATTTTGATTTTTCAGGTATTGTTGAGTTCTAAGATTAGAGTTAGGTGTTCTTGGAGATATTTCGTTGCTGCCTCGTGAGACCAGGAGTAGGCGTAGAGGGCTGTGCCGTTTGCGTATATGGCAAGTTGTGTGTTTTTGTGAACTGGTAGGTCGTTTATGTGAAGATTGAATAACATGGGTTCTAGGATAGATCCTTCTGGGACTCCTGCAGAGATTTTTCTGGGGGTGGAGTATGCTCCATTTACTGAAACTGAAAGGTTACTGCCTTGTAGATAACCCTTTAATATTTTTGTGATGCGCAGTAGACATTTTGGATGTGTTAATTTTAGGAGAAGCCCTTGTTGCCAGATAGTGTCGAAAGCTTTTGCTATGTCCAGGAGGACCCCATTCGTGTTAGTCTGTTCTTGTTTATTTCAAAAGTGATATGATGGTATGTTCCGTAACTTTGAGCAGCTGCTGGATGGTCGAGTGGTTTGTTCGAAATCCAAATTGATAGGGGACTAGGATGCTATGGGTTTGGATACTATAGAAAAAGGACCTCAGTAGTTGTTTTTCAAATACTTTGCTGAGGAGATGCTCTGGATTAACCTTAGCTGTAGGTGTTCCTGTTTCCCGGGCCTTTCAACCCCTTGGCGTACTATTTACTTTCACTACGAAGCTCGTGTATCATTTTTCTACCGACAATTTGGAAGAAATGCAACAAATTTTTCAATTCTACTTGAAGTGGAAATTTCACTTGGAGATAATAAATTGATAATAATAAAATAGTTTGCTTTGATCCGTGGATAATGAGCAACAGGTTGTTATTAAATTCGTCTAGAAATCTTCATCACGAGTCTGACTCGTCATTATTCGGCAAAGGATTAATTTGAATTAACTTTTGCTGTCTTCCACTTTCTGGGGAAGTATGCTAATTTTAGGCAGCTGTTAAGAATGTAGTGTTAACCGTACAAGTGACTTTTTGGGTAGAATTTTGAGTTTGCTGCTTGTGAATATATATCTGGTCCTGATGTGTTATGGATGTTTGTGGTAGAGTAGAGCATTATTTGTTATATTCAGGTTGTCTACATGTTTTAATATTTTTTCCTTGGCTAGTTTTGTCTGCACCTGAAGAGCGTGTTTTGAGGACGAGCGACGGAGGTTCATGGGAAGCTTATATATTGATCGTTGAATCGAGCAGGAGCGAGAAATGTTCGTAGATCTCGTAGCTTTCTCGTGGTGATTTTAGCAAATTCCGCCACACGGGTAAGAAAAATTTGGAACCTGATACGTAGAGTTGAAATTGGGCTCACGGTATTTCACGAATGGTTCCTCCGAATAGAAATCCGGTTCGCGTCCTCGATTTTGCGTGGTGGAATCGACCGGCTCGGTTTTTCGATGCGGAAGGCTCGGAACGTCGGACGGGTTACGTTCTTTTCATTAATTTCGAGTTGGAGCGTGTTACGGTCGCGTCTGCGATTGCGTAAGAACTTTCGAAGAGAATTCGAACCCGAATTCGCCTTGCGCGCGATGTCGAAAACTATCGCGGAAGACGAGGTCGGAGGTTAGAGCGGACCGACGAGTCGGAAAGACGGATCGCGAGGCTAGACGAGATGAAACGAAACGAAATTCCATTGCACCCCGTTCTCGGAAGTAATTTGATCGTATCTAGGAAGTCGCTCGCTCGCTCGTTCGCTCGTTCGCCTACACTTTCTACGGGAACTTTCATCGAGGCGTTACCTCGTTTGTTCGGCCGTTTGTTTCGGCGTGTCTCCGTGAAAATTTGCAACGCGCGAAAAGGTTGCCGCGACTCGATCGTCCTCTGGACGAAAAGAGCAAACTTCGAGAATCGTTTTCTCGACAGGGACGAAATCGACCGAGTCTCGGCGAGCATCGATCTCGTGATCACCGTTACGGCGAGTCGCCGCTTTCACTCGAATTCTATGGTTTTTTGCGTCGAGTTTCCACGCGTCGACTAGTCTCGTGGTCGTCGGTGGTTGCGCGAATGGATTTTGACCGCGAAAACGGGTCGCGGCGTTCACCGAAGGAAACGAAGCGGCGAACGTGTCGCGGACGGGGGTGCCAGAAAATATAGGTTGAGTCGGCGGACGTTCGATTCGGGTCAAGATTTTTCATCGGAGATCGTTTCGGACGACCCGGTGGAAACGTTCCTCGCTCCAACAGCCTAGGCTTGAGTCCCGGAAATCTCGGGTAGCCGCACACATCCCTAATCGCGGAGCGATCGGACCGATGGAACAGCTGCCAGAGTTTTTGGGTCCAGGCGCGGCGTGGAGCGGCGCGTAGCCGCGTAAACGCGCGCATCGAGGTCTCGTTCCCTTCGTCGAGGTTCGTCTGGAATGCAGAAAGAAGGGGTGGGTAAAAGTAGGGTGAGAACGATGATCGCAGAGGGGATGGTCGACCGTGTGCGTGGAACAGCAGTCTGGCCAGTTGATTACGATGCCGAAACGAGTGGCTGGCCGGCCATCTCTCCAACCAGTTTCGGACAGCGCGCCGCGTCTTCTCGGCTCGGAACGAGGCCTACGCGAGCACGAGCTCCGCGCAAAGAGACGGCAGTCCGAGGCTCCGCGAGAGAAAAGGAGACGCGGCCAGGGAGAGCGAATGAGAACGGAGGAGAACGGTGGAGAACGGAGGAGAACGAAGGAGACCAGCGGAGAGAAAAAGAGAGCGTGATCAGGAGAGAAGGACAGTCGCAGGGAACGGGAACGGGAACGGGAACGGGACCGTGAGCCGAGAGTGCCGAGAGT